TTTTTTTGAGACAGAGTCTCATTCTGTCGCCCTGGCATCCTGGGTAGAGAGTACAGTGGCATCATTGTAGCTTACTGCAACCTCTAACTCCTGGGCTCAAGTGATCCTCTTGCCTCAGCCTCCCGGGTACCTAGGACTACAGGTGAATGCCATGACACCCAGACAATTTTTTTATTTTTAGTAGAGATGGGTCTCCCCCTTGCTCAGGCTGGTCTCCAAGTCCTGAGCTCAAGCAATCCTCCCATCTCGGCTTCCCAGAGTGCTAGGATTACAGGTGTGAGTCACCACTACGCCCGGCCAGAGTTAAATTCTTGATTCATTAATTCTTTCTTGCTTAGTTTAAGGCCTTGAATTTTCCAATGAATATGACTTTGACAGAATCCCCTAAATTTTAATATGCAGTGTTTAATCTTTTTTTCTAGATATTTTGTAATTTTGGTGTTGATATCTTTCTTAGTTAGAAATGGTACATTTTGGTTTTTGTTTCAGAAAATATTAAGAATTTTAACATTCCTAAGCTAAATATATTTAAGGGTGGAGATAAATGAAAGAAATGATGCAAAAATATGTTCAGCACAGAATCTGGATTTAGGATTACACAAAGTTAGTAGAATATACTTTTAATTCTGTGCTGAAAATTTATCCATCTGCATTTGGGTTGGATTCCAAAATTTATTGCCGAATAAGATATTAGGATTAACATATTTATTAAAGATGTGGGGCCAGTTAACAGCTACTAGGTTTCCTCTGTATGCCCAGTACTGAGGGGGAAACTCTGGGAGTACCAAAGAAGTCATACTGTCATGTCTTTCCACATTTTCTTCATTCTCTAGAAACAGGTAAATCAAAGGCTTTTATAAAGAATCTCTGAGTATGAGTAATTTGGAAGACAGGCGTACATTCAGTCTGCACATCCTAGCCTATTATGGTAGACACTGATTGCCACAATAAGAATTCAATCCCTGATACTTGCACAATAAATGATGAGATCAATGTCTACAAAATCAATTATGATAATTACCATTGTGACATAGCCTAAGGAATACACAACATGGGCAAAGCAAATCTAGCCCTAAAATACTGGCATTTTCCATCATATAAAACCCTCACAGAGCCCAATAATTGTAGTATTTATATAGAATATGCAATTAAATAATAGAAATATATCAAACATAGTTTAATTTGTGAATATTTGAAAATAACAGAAATTTTCAACCTGGGTTGAATTATGAAATACATACCATTTTATTTTTATTTATTTATTCAACACATACCATTTTAAATGAAACCTGCTGACCTTCTTCCATTGCGTGGCTGAAAAATATTAAATAATAAATTAGAAATAAATCAGTGTAACTAAAGATAGAAGTTAATATTCATAGAAACAGACTAATGGCCTAGAGGAGTGTTTCCTAATGTGCATCAGAATCACAGACTCACCTGGAGGGATTTTTACAACACAGACTGCTGGACCCCATAGCTGGAGTTTCTGATTTAATAAGTCTGAACTAAAATTTGTTATTTCTAACAAATTCTGAGGTTCTGCTAAAGTTTCTGAGAACCACAATGAATTAGATAGTATTTGATATTGCTTATTTCCTTGATGGTATCAAAATTTTAAAACAAGTGTTCTCAGTTTCCGTTTGATATGAACTAAAATTAACTTACTGAAGTCAGGAGCTGTTTAGCATTACTTCTTCCTGCTGTCAGTCTAGTTCCATCATTAAATCCGTTCTCCAATTTGCTGTTAGAATTAATTTCCAAAATGCAACTATAACCATATAGCCCTTTGCCTTTAAAGTAAAGTTGACATTTCTTAGCTAAATATTTCATCCAACGATTCCTGTTGATTCTTCAGGATTCAGCCCATGAAGTCTTCTCTGTACCTCCTCCATTCCCCAGCTTGAGTTAAATGCTTTTCTTTTGGAAACCACACCCCTGGACTGAAGCTGCATTTAACAGAGTACTTTATATTTATTTATTTATCTATTTTCTCTATTAGGCTATAAACTCCTAGAGCATAGGAATGGAAACGTATCTGTCTTTATATTTCCAGTGCTTGGTACACTGCCCAGCACCCAGTAGAAGTTCAATAAATAGTCATTGAATTAATTAATTAAAATTTTCTAGTAATGTATTAAGGATGCAAATATTTTATAAACTACAGCTGCCTAAAAAGAAACTCACATTTTATAGACAATGTAGACATACAAAATCAGAAAAGCAATCACAAAATTTGTCTACTTAATAGCCTTCATTTAGCTGATTCTTTTAATTTTTAGGACTAGTGAAAATATCATCACTCTTCCAATCTACTGAATCAAATATTTAGTAAATGATTCTTTAGAACGTAAGGAATAATATATCTTTAAGACACTTATTTCCTATACATGTAATGTCATGGAATTAAACTGTCAAATAGGTGAATGTCATTTGGGGTATTTACAAACGTAAGTTGTGGATCAGAGAAGAGATCAGAGATGCTGTGGTGTTGAATGATGTTGAAGCAATAAGGTGGTCACAGAAGTGAATGTCAGACTGTAGCACCTGATGTCAAATATCTATAAATAAACTTCAAAGCTTAATTAAAACTTATGAGTTAATTAAATGTACAAAGTATTTTTCAACTTTGATATTGATTGATTTTAAAACAAATATAGTACATACATACCCTGAATAAAAAGTATCCTCGACTTCGACTTGCAAAAGGAGTTTGGAATTCTTCCTGGAAGAGAAAAGGAGGGCATAACAAATCAAATAGCACCATTAAAAATAAGTGCAAATTCTTCTTGAGAGTAGAGTGAAGGTCAAAGTTACTTGGAACTGTCATAACTAAACAAAGAGTGAATCAAGGACTTGAGTAGAGAATCTTTGTATTTATATCCAAAAATTTTCAACAACTAGCAATATCATCAGAATAATATATTTAAAAATAATTTCCTTATCAATATTATAGATTCTTTTTTCAGATATTTTGTCAGTTGTATGTGTACTCATCGTTGAAAGAGAAATGACAGACACTTCATAATTAACTATATTTAAAATCTCCTTAGGCATTTTGTTAGAATGAAATAATTTCTTTAAAATACATATTGTATGTCATAACACATGAACAGGGAAAAACATAAAATAGAATTGTGTCAAAGCTAAAAAATATCATACAGTATTTCTACAGAAATGTAGATTAAAATTGAGGGACAAGCTTGGTAAACTATGTTTATTCAATGCAACGTCAGAAGAGATTTTCCTAATATATGTACAGAATGGTAATTTAAAAAATGCCAAATAGAAACAAACCAGTTATTCATAATGGATATCTTGCAGTGTTTCTTTTCTTAACCATTTCGTTTTAAACTCCATGAAAAAATATTGAACAATTTATGGTTTCCATAAAACTTGCTTATATTTTCATTAACAATTACCCATATCATAAAAGTATTATCAAGATGGCAACCACCATGAAATTTATCAGCCAAGACTGTTTTTCAAGTAGCCCATAATATAAACACAATCGTATTCTTAAAGTCTAAGAAATGGCTCTGATATTTATCAAAATTCTGAAATGCTTAATTTACAACAAATATATCTTAAATTCTCAATATTTATACTTAATTCTCATCTTTAACCCCCAAATTACTTAAGATTGAAAAATTAGAATTTAAAAGTGTACACGTATTATATACATATATCAAAATATCACATGTACCCCCAAAATATGTACAACTATATCAATGAAAATATCCAAAAAAAGCTTTTCAAAAATTTAAAAAATAAAAAAGTATACCTATAAACTGTGTGTTTACATGCTTATAAGTTCTCATTTATATTATGTTAAAGATAAAAAAGAAAAAGGCAAATATAAATTAAAATGTACAGAATATTCAAAACTTTCAAATGCAAACCCCAAAATGTACAGGTAGCTGTAGAGTCTTATCACTGGACACAGAGCAGTGTATAAAAGAATTTGGGAGGCAGAGATAAGCCAAAGATGTGGGGATGGAAGTAGAAGATGTCTAGCAAGTAAGATTCAAGAAAAGTGTTTGAATGCACTAAGATCCAAAAACGCATTTTTTTTCAAGAATTCAAAATATTTCGCTATCAAAAACACATTTTAAAATTAGGCGATTTAGGCCGAGCAAAGCTAACACTGCAATGTTTTTTATTCGTCTCTTGCATTCTTTTCTTTCATAGGTTCCTAGGAAACTTAACTTGCTGCAAAATACTTTTAAGATTTATAATTCATCTGACAGGATATACTACTAAGAGTTTCAGCCAGTTGTCTGGAAATATAGATGGTGTCAACTCAAGGTAGAAAATTCAGACAAAGTGCTGGCTACAGTACTGAGTGTTGAACTTTGGTTGTGTAAATATGGCACTGAAATAATGTAGTCACACTAATATTTGTTTTTGTATTAATACTTTAAGAGACTTAGACCTTTAAGTTGACACTGTGTAATATTCATAAGTCAAGCAAACACTTTAGGAAGCAAAAGTTAACTCAGCAAAGTATATAGTACTTCTAGGAAGTTTGATGACAACTGACTTTTTTTTTTCATTCTGGAAATTCTAAAATTTTAAGGGGCTACTGCATTTGCTCTTACATTTCTCTTTAAAGTTGGCAGTGGACACTGTCTTCTTTGATGGAAGCTTAGTTTAAAATTGTGAAGAATTTAGGGAGGAAATAATGGCCATAAAAATAAATTTTGAGGAATTTATTCACCTAAACTGTATGCATTTAAAAAGTATTTGAAGACTCTAGGTAGCACTTTAAGAATAAAATAAATATGGTATTGATATTAAGTAAAAATTTGACCTGAATTCAACTTTTAATAATAAAATATATAACTTAACGATAACATAATAAAAGTATCCAAGATTAATCTATAAAGGGAACAGCATAGTGAAAAAAATATGTGCCTTCTCTTACTAGTTTGGTCTTGGGAAACTCCTTCAACTATTCTGAGTTATTTTCCCTGTTGTAAAATGGGAACAACAATACTTGTATAAGTATTAATATTAGCAGAATTCCCAAAAGAATAAAATGAGATAATATAAGACTGAAAGTTATAATGTAGTAAAACAATGTAAAGTATCACTTAAAAATAATACCTGGAAACTTTCAGCATTAAAAGAGTTAGGAGTCACCTTAAATAACAATAAAAACTACACAATTCCTACTTAAGAATGTGTTAACTCAGTTATATTCATCTTACACATAGACACTGGATTTAGGCCATATTTTTGTTAATTGTGGAAAAAACAAAATATCTATATTTACTGTCTGATACATCTACTTCATGAGTCTTACTTTTTAAGACTTGGTGGAGAAACGTTGCCATCCTATAATAGCTATTTACCAAAATGGATACAGAGGGGCAGTAAATTGTCCTGAATTTGTTCTCCTATTCCTACCTAACGACTAGACACACTATAGTGTCCTTTCTCAAACCAGAGAATAGGTTTTCTCACTGGGAGGGTCATGGCTTTTGCAAAAGAGTATAATCCCAGCTTGAGTGAGTTCTAAAGGACATAACTGGGGGGCGGGGGAGTTTGAACAACTCTCTCCTTCCTGAGTGTGAAGACAGCTCTGCAAACAGATGCCCTGACGTTGGCTCACTGGGCGTTAGTGTGGGCTTATCCTGAGAAGAGTATTTTATAAACCACCCCAGCTAGGAAGGAACAGAAGGGCTGTCCCACACAGCGTGGCAAAGCAAGCATGCAGCTGGTGCTACGTACGTTCACTTTGAATCTCTTCATTCTTCTCTCATTCAGCTGAGGGACGAGCTGCAGCAACGGGTGCACAACTGACGACTGGGAGGACATGAACACACACAGGATGAGCACAACGGCTTCTCGGCACTGGGCATAAAGACGGTTTCCTATTTGTTTTTACCCACTCTACTTGTCTCCGAGAAAAAAGAAAATTAAAGATGTTATCTGTGAACTAAAAATAAACTCCTAAGTGCCAGCTCCGCCTCCAGCCCCTGACCAAATGGACCCCATAAAGGGTTATATAAAGCACAACTGCATAGGCGCATGTTTCTCTAAGTATTCATGACTCCTCCTATAGCCGGTAAATATGAACATTTGGCCATCCCGCTCAGTATAAATTCCCGTTCCCATTGTCCCTGCCTCAAAGCTCCTGTTCCTGGCTTGTGGCTGGGGGGCTCTGCTTTCCAGCCTCCCCAGAATGGCCACCACCGGGCTCCCACCCTTTATGAGAAACGAAGCTCTGCTTTCCAAATTATGAACCTTGTTACATTTTTTCGGTTAACATATCAAAGAGAACCCTTTGTTAGCAGTTCAAAGAACTGTGGAGATAAGCCAAGAGATGGAATAAAATTCGATAGCTCTACGCAAGGATTTTTGTCATTATATTGAAGCACGTTCTTGAGGGCCTCCACGCTCTTGTCAGCTGCGAAAATCAAACCCCTCACTGCATCTTCGAGAGGCAAAAAGCAGTCTGTCTGCTTCTAGACTTACTCAAAAGGATTTGAGTCAGATGAAACCAACGTTGTGAGTAGCAGTTTTCCATCATAAACGTATTTATTTGGAAGATTATACTATACACACATCTAGTAATCTATAAATTATATATTTAAAACAGAAACACATGGAGCAAGACAACAGGGAACACAAAAATGACAATGTGCTATTGATAGTGAAAAATGTGGCTAAGACATTTTCTCAATAGGTAAAGATGGCAAGCAGAAGAAAAGGAAAGCACACTTGAGACAGGTAGCTGGCTACCTGATATGACTGCATTTTTTTTAAAGGTATGGATTGAATTGAGCCTTGTCCCTAATATTAAATCCATTTATCAAATGAATTATGTTAAGCCATATATAATGCTTATCTGTTAACCAATTCAACTTGTATTTGGTGTAAGCCAGTATAATCTAACTTCTAACTCCTCATATGTATGAATATTCCATGTGATAAATATTTAAAACTGAATTTAAGATTACAATTACCTTTCCAGAGGTATGCACATGTTTAAAATACACTACGCTCCTCATTCCCTAAATTGGTTCATGGTAGTGAACCACAAGCTTACAAATATTATAGTCAAATAAATAATTACTAAGTATTTTAGATTGAAACACTAAAGAATGTTGGTTAGCATTTTTTAAATCCATGCATACAAAATGAAAAACTACCACCAAAACCACATGATTTTGAAGTAAACTGAATTCAAGTTACTGGTTTATGGTTAATCTTAGAGAGTAAATTCTCATATTAAATGCCTAATTACTAATAAGGAGATATTAGGAATAGAAAAGGATATTTATGGTCATATTTAATTACATTTTTGACAAACATCTTTTAAAATAATTTTTAAAATGCCTTAGGATAAAACTATTTTTCCTTTGCAACAATTGTCATCATTGTTTTGCCTATTATTTGCTTTTCTTTGCACCTTTAAAATGTAAGTTCCATGAGAGCAGAGATTCCTTTTTTTAATTTACTATAGCATTTATTGCTATATTTCTAGTACCTAGGATTGTGCCTGGCACATAGCACATAGTAGATACTCAATAAATAATTGTTGAATGAATGAATGAATTTAATGTACATGCAGTTATTGATATATAAAATAAATTAAATGTATAATAAATATTGCATTCCATTTGTTCATCTACATATAAACTTTTAAAGTAAAAAACCTGAATTTTGATGTAGCTTTATTAGGTAAACTGCAAAAACAGGGTTTTTGTTTTTAAACAAATACTAGTGGTTCCTAAGAAGTAGTTCTGCAACTTACCACAACATTTGAATTGCCCAACTTCTGTGTCTTCGAATAATGAAATAAGAACTGTTTAAAAAAAAGCATTGAATTTTACTATAAAACATTAGTTGTTTCCTTTACTATTTTTTAATGTATATATTTATGAAAATTATCTTACCCTTTTAGTATTATCCTTTTCATCTTGTTCCTATTGAAAAGATATATATCATTATACTACATGTAATATGCTATTAAATTATACTACATATTATATAGCATACATAAAGCACTATAAAATTTTATACTATGTATTATATGCTGTGTATGCTATAATGTAAAATTTTATAATATAGTCTAAAATTATATTTTTAAAAATACATGATACATATGTTACATATAAAATACAACACTGAAATAGGTTAAATATCTGTTGCTCTAAAAAGTAAATGGAAAATGAATTAAATACTGTTTATAAATAAAGAAGTAAACAAAGATCTTTACTGCAACATTATTCATAAGAGTAAAAAATTGGAAACATCTTGAATATTCAACAGTGGTGGAATGGGAAATTATGATATAATCACATGATGGAATATTCAGAGAAAAAGACTAAAAGAATTACATCAAAATATTTGTAGCGGTTATCACCAAATAATAAGATTATGAGGTTTTTTTGGTTTCTTCCACAAACTTTTCTTTATTCTTTTCTCCTGCCGAAAATGTATGTTTTTTAAAAAAATATTTTTTAATTAAAAAAAATCATCCCTTTTTATTGTTCTTTTTGTTCTCATTTGCTTTTAATACAAAAGGAAGATCAGGGATAAATATCATTGTCGTTTCTTTTATCTTAATTAGGAAAAAAGTCAATTAAGTTTTTTGGAAAATGTCACCATTAAGAACCATGATAAATATATAATTGTAAACACAGATTATTTAGTTTCAGGAAACACTTATGCTTTCAAACTATCAAGGCTTCTTTCTTTGAACTATGGCATGTGAAAGGTATGGAAGTCAGAGTGCCAATGATCACAGGTTAAATTAGAATTGCAAATGAAAAATTTAATTCTAAACCTGAGGCTCTTATCTTTAATAGGGTAATTTAAAAATAAGTTCGCCCATAAGATACAGAATATAAAATTAGGTATTATGCTTATGCAATTTTTCAAGTTCCCATCTACCCTCACTTCAGGATAAAACATTCTCCCAAAAGAATCAAATAATTTTAGTAAGAAACCAAGACACAAAAGTTAGAATATAATTTTCAAATTGACATTGACAATAGTTTACTTTTTTTGCATTCTTAACATCCTACTCTCTAACAAAGTACAATGTCCTAACCTCTGAACCATAAGATATGTTAAGCAGCTTAGAAAAATGCATCTGTTCTCCAATGTAGCATGAGTCAGGGTGAAAAAGAGAGCCAACATGACCTCAAATTTCTCCATCGGACTGGAACACATTTTATAGGTTTCCCATATGTCTCTCTCAATTAGATTACTGTAAATTCCATTACTATGACCCTAAATTCTCAGACATCAGAGAAACTGAAATATTTGTTTCTCATCCAAAATCAATTTATTCTCCTCTAGCACCTCTTGGCATGCTTCCTAAATTGGGCATACTTTCTTCCAGGAGGAATTCCAAAAATTTGGGGGAAATTTTTTGCCCACAAACAAAACTATTTCAACCTTACCCGAGGCTTTAGCAGAATCCCCGTAAGCACAAAGCAAAGCTCCTCCAGTACTTTGGATGCCTAATGGAAATGAGAAGATACATAGGCTATGCTTCTGCTTTAACAATATTTGCACAGCAGATATAACTGTAAAATGTTAGGAGGACAAGGAAATGCCAACTACCTAGAAAAGAATCCTTCTTGTGGACCATTAAAACTGTTGGAATCCCTTGATTTCTCTTACAACAAAAACTTGGCAGCTAAAAGTAAAACCATCCTTCCAACCAGAAAAAAAAAAGTTATGTACGGTGTATATGCACGGATGAACGCTCCCACTGTGGTCTAGATACATAGTTCTCAGCACTTGCTAAGATGTTATGAAATTCTATGACTGAGAGTAACCAGGGGCAGTGCCAAAAGAGGGGATTATTCTTCCTAGCTTGTAGCAAAATCTGCATCTACATGCCAAAGCTGTGAGCCTTGGTGCATATTACTCATTACTGGCTAATTTGAAAACCCTGCAACTGCTTGCAAACAATGGGAATTGGAGGAGAAAGAAGCCATGCATGGTGCACCTAATCTGAGTACCACCCTTCCAGGGTGCTGACTGTGCACCCCACGATCAGGTTTTTCAAAGCATTCGACCACAGAAGTGGGGCAGGGCTCCTTGTGGTTAGCAGCCAGCTGGGTGTGGTAAGGAGTAGCACAAATAGACAAGTAGGGGCGAAACCTGCTTTGCACAGAATTTAGCACAGTTAGTACCATGAACAATTGATTACTTAATAAATGCATTTTGGAAGTAATTAAGAGCTGAATAGTGTGTGGGGGGTGCAACATAATTAGTGGTTAAAAGCATGGGCTACGGAGTTGGGCAGCCTGCCACTCTACCACAGTGCCAATTCCATCTCTACTCTTCCTTAGCTGTGTTACCTTGGGCTGCTTACCTAACCTCTCTAAATCTCAGTTCTTTAGCCATATATTAGGGATGACATCACTGCAGAGAGTTCTTGGAAGGATTAAATGTAAGTAAAGTCCTTGGGGTTTGATTTACAGCAGCAGTTACTCTTCATTTAGAAGATATGTGAAAAGAATTATTCAGGGCCACCAATATTCTCACCCTTTGAACAAAAGTACATGCTCAACATGGTTGGTTGTGGTTGGGGACCCAGCTGGAGCCAGCATCAGAGGTCTGCTTTGCTCTATTCATTCCATCTGTTTGTTTGCCGTGCAAATTGTTGGGATAGTTATCAATAATGTCTCATAGTTACACAGTGCTTCAATAAATGACAAAACATTTTCACACATAGTCACACACCACATAATGGTGTTGCAGTCAACGACGGACCTCCTATATGACGGTGGTTCCCATAAAATTATAATGGAGCCGAAAAATTCTTGTCATGTAGTGACATCTAGATGATCCTGACCTTGTGTAGGCCTAGGC